TTTTTAATTGGTCATTCCAAGATTTAAGAGAACCAAATTGCTCCCAAGACTCAACAAATAAATACTTGTAAGTCAAATTTTTAATTGGTTGTTTGTTCCAAAATGTAAGAGAGGAATAACCTAAATCCTCCCAAGACTCAAAAATATAGGCCAAATACTATCAATGAGGAGTCATGATTGCTGTCATGATTGGTAATTCCAAAACCAAACTGATTATTTTTACATGATGAAAGAGAATCCCATTCCCAAGGCTTGATAAATTCTGTCAGCTTGTCAAGCCATACTAGTACAAGCATCAAAACAGAAGTGGAAAAGCCCAAGACTAGCCAAAAAGACACATRTGTTGTGAAGGACTAGCAGAGGTATTATAGAAGCTAGAACCATCAGTGCACTTCTTGCCAGTGGGAGAAGGTTTTGCAAAAAGTATTGTAATGTCATCAAAATTTCATGCAATTGTTGACTCATCAATGTGTACAAGTTGATGCACAAGCTGTCAAGCAACAAGGATACCACCAYGTAGCAATCAAGATTTGAGGGAGCTTAGCATGAGATCAGGGAAAACAAAGTTTGGTGGAAAAAATATTGCCAAGAAATGTGAAGAATGCTGCACTACTCTTTCAAGTGATGATCTAACAATGAACAAACTTGATTCAATGTTGAACATTTCACCAAGAGCAGGACATGTTCCAGATGAGGACTCAATATTCTTAAATCACACATTACTACTAGTATGGTCAACATCACAGCAGAAGAAGTCAAGGTGCCAGGTTTGCATGGAAATTGAGCTGATGTGGGAATACATTGAGGACATGAAAGGGAAAAATCCAATTTCAACCAGGACTGTACAAGATATCATCTTTCCTGGTTAGTCCTTTGTGTTATTTGTTGCATGAACAAAACCATGTGAAAACGTGTTTCAAAAACCAAAGGAAAGAGTGCAGAATGAAAATTCCAAACAAAGGTTGCAATTGATCAAATGTAATATTTAAAAAGATTGGTATGACTGGAAAGGCAACAAAAACACATCTGCATATGAACATGAGAGGAACATGAAGACTGCATGGTTAATATGTACAATAAACTTGCAAGTTCTGTTTTTGAACTCAATTCACCAAACACTGTTGCAAATTGTTCTGGTGGTTCAACTAGTATGTATATGACCTGCTACATTCCAAAATCAATTGTCAACAAAGAAGAGGCTGATGTGTATGCTAGTGCAGGAAAATAGATGTTAAACAAACTTCAACAATAAGTTTACAACAGTGAGGAAGACAGTGGGTTCAATGTTGCAATGTGCAAACAAGGAGTTCATGCTTTGGTGGGAGCTGTCACTTTAAGCATAAAGTCAGACATTGTTTCTGGTCCCATGGTGGCAAGCTCTCCTTCAAAATAGGTCTCAGTTCCATTTTTCTCATGAATTTGAATCTCTTGGTCTTGATTGTTTTATGAGAGAGACAATTAAGGTATTTGTTTTGGATTCAAATAGTTCAAAACAAATGCATTACATTGCTTAGTAAATCTCATGTTGCAAATTATTTGTGCAGGCCTGGGAAACTTGAAGGTGTTCCTGTTTATGTTCTTTCTCTAGCTTCACCACAACAAAAGGAATCAAATCAAAGAAAAAAAGAAACAACAATGAATTGGTCATCTCCTCCACACCCTACAAAAAAAAATTAAAATTTCTAATTGCAAGAAACCAGCAATGCTGTTGATTCATTTTTTAAGTTTCCAAACAGTGAAAAATTTGGAGGCATCCCCATTGATGTTAACATCAATCATCTAAAAGATACTCCTGGTCACCGCTTATTGTTGGCAATGGCAAAATATGTTAAAACAGCTCTGTTTCCAGTTTTTGTTATTTAGGAATGCAAAAAAAAGAACTCCAGTCAGATTCAAAATATTTACCAAAATTCAGGGAAATTCTAAAAAAGTGGGAAATTGAAACTGAATCTTCAAAAACTGCTGAAAAATGCCCAAGATTGCTMCAGCATCTTTAATTTGGGAAGACCAAAAGATGCTCTAGAACAAGTTACACAAAACCTTTGAAAGGAGGGAACTGCTGTCAAACTAGTACAGGGATATTTTGTTGACAATATGGATATGACATGTGATCAAGGTCAGGTTCAGTTCACAGACATGTTCAATAAGATACAAATTGACACTTCAGTTGTCACAAATCAAGGTTCCCATAAGTGTGGAAGAACACTGCTGAAAACATGCACAGTCACACCAGATTCAAATGCAATTGCTCTTCAGAACTAAGGTTCAGGTTACTTGTTTTGTCTCCAGAGGACATCCTAAATCTCAACCAAAATATGAACCAAATGAGCTTCCAAGAAGTATTTTGTATCAAATTCCACATAAAAGTTTTGATGTGATCATCCATGAGACTGATCATGCAAAAGCTATGAAAAGTTCACATTTACTGGAAGCTTGGAAAATATCAGAAACTATGGAAAGTTGAATTTTCAAAATGACAAAGACCAAGAAAATGGACTTAGCCAGATTGTTGCTGCTTTTGTTTTAAAACTTCATGAAAAATCTCTACATTCACCTGAACAAAAAAGAGAACAAGATTCCAAAGGAAGATTAATTGGTAATTGCAGCAACAAATGCACAGAAGATCTAAAGGCAACCATGAGCAACAAAAAGTAGTTCACCTAATTTCCTTCAGGACCTGCGTGGTTMTRGGWAATTCATTCTGTTTGACATAATTGTAACATGCTTTGCAAACAATTGGGATTGAACTTTTCCAACAGAACTCTGGCTGTCACAGGCATGACTGGAAYAGTAGCAGTTGTTAATATCAATGGGGAAACAAGACATAAAGTTTGCTGTCTTAATGGTGATGCATCCAATGTCTCACAGGATGATGCATGGGTAAATGAGACTTKCCTAGTACTCATCRATGACRAGATATCATTTCTTGCTAGCATAAAAAAATTGAAACATTGAAGAATGAGTACCTGAACTTATTGTGTGACAAGTCATCATATTATTTGTATGGCAATCTACTACCAATTCTCTTTCTTGCAGGTGACTTCAATCAACTCAACCAGTGGGAGGAGAATCTTTATTATGAAAAAAGATTCTATCTTTTGAAGGGAAGAAAGAACCAACACATTTCTTGAAATTAAAACAAACCACAGGTTTGAAGATGATCCAATCTGGGGAGAGCTTCTTGATGATTTAAGAATAAATGGTTTGAAAGAAGAGCATGTTCAAATCATCAATTCAAGAATTTTAAAACCTTGGGACAATTCCCAGAAAATATTGCTTGTTATGCAACATACAGCAAGAATGCAGACAAATGTGCAATAATGATGGCATATTTTCTGAGTTATTCAAAACAACATACTCAAAAATAGAAACCAGAGATTACCAGATCACACCATTGTAATCAAGGCCTCAAACCTAAAACTGCAGATAGACAAAAAAGAAAATACAGAGACATGCCAGAATTTCAGAAATACTGCTTGCTACTACTAGTAACTGCTACATCAGATGCTGACATTGTTGCAGGTACAAATAAATCTTCCAAAAGGACAGATCCAATGATTAAATTGCATGTTGGTAGATCTGTCATGATCAATGACAACATAGATGTTGAAAAGTCAAAAGAAAATGAAGCCATGTCTTGTGCATTCAAAACTGTCAAACTGATAAATGGGTACCAAGATTGTGAAATTATCAGCATTAATAGACAATTTTATGCTTGATGCGTACTAGACATTGAGAAAGTTGAATGGATGGAGGTAGTTTTTGAAGAAGGAGACTAAAAAAAGTGATCACTTCTTTAACTCCTCAAAACACCACAGTAGCAAAATTTTGATGTCCACAAGCAGAATACTAGCACTACTACAAATCAGAGGAATTATTCATCAAACTCAAACAAGTCACAAGGGAATACATTCTTCAACTCAATTTCCAATCAATATTGCTATTGCACCAAGAACTGTTCACAAATTACAGGGAAGATCTTTGGAGGATGTGTTGGTTTCAACTTGGTCTTACACAAGCAATAGGATTTATGTCATGCTTTCAAGAAGAGGACAAGGAGTTGTTACTACTACTACTAGAAGACCTTTCAAGAATGGTCTGTTTGTAAGACCAAGAACACCTCTTCTGCTTACAAAAAACAACACCAAAAACAACACCAAAAACAACACCAAAAACAACACCAACAAAAACAATATCCAGCATACACAACAAATCACTGATTTCCATTCCTATTGCAGAAAGAACAAACAGCAACAGTGCTTTCATTGAATACTAGTAGCTTCAACTATCATTACATTCTTTTCAGAGCATAAATTCCACCTTACTGGCACTAACTTAGTTTTTGCACCCCATAAACTATTTGCGTTAGCTAAAGAAATTGCATGTGCCATAATGAGTTAGCGTAGTGTGTATCCATCGATAACACATGCAAACAGGCAGACAGTACTATACACTCTAAGCAAGACTTAGCAGATATGGGGATAGCATGGTGGTGTCGTTGGGGTGTGATACTAAGAAGGGTACTAGTACTAGTACTAGTAGTACTAGTACTACTACTACTAGTAGTAGTATTTTAGATTAGATGAAGAAAGAAGTGTGTGATAAAGCGACTGCTGCTGGAAGCTTCCCTTGCATACTCAACACAGTGATATTATATCAGTGTGATGAGACACTATGACCGAGAACTGTGTTAAGGGGTCATTAGGAGGCTTCTCCAGGGTCATTCGGTGTTGGAATCGATAGTCCGTGACCACATTATACATAGGATTAGTACGTACGTATTCTAAAACATACCACGTACCATTTAATCGTACGAGTCGTATTCGTATGAGTCGTATGATTCAATCGTGTCGTACGARTGATTTTTACACACCGGTAGCAAGCCAATTTTTCTTAAAGTCGCGCACCCCCTTCTAAATTTGTGACCCCTGTGCTGCTTGGGACTTCAGGAAAGACTATTTTGACTGCATTCAGTTCTCCGTTTCTTCAGATTGAAACGCTAATCCAACTGTGGAGAATCGTATGGTACTGTGAGACAGTAAATCACAGGTACAACTGAAGATAGATTCACAGTTGATTGACACTGGTGCTGTTTTCATCTTGTGTAAGAGCGCCTTCACCATAGCGTCTTAATCATAAAGAACATCTCGATCGAATCACCATAGCGGAAATTTTAAAAGAAAAAGTCAGCCAAAAATGAAAATAAGAAGTCCGATGGCACTGGATGCCGGGAATTCCTCACCAAAGAGAACAATTTGGTTTATTCTTCCTGCAGCATGTGCCATGGTGTATTGTATAATGATTTACCTGAACGAAGATTTGCAATACCAATTGTTATCAAATAGAGAGCCTGCACAACAAGTATTGCGTGCCGCTACTACCGCCACCACCATCATAAAAAAGGAAGAAGAGCATTCGACATATGAATTGGCTCGAAGAGAGTCACTTGGATTTTTCACGGACATTCCTGAAGAAACGTGGAAGCGACACAAGAAACGATTCCAACTGACTCAACCCAATTACGATGATTCAAATCAAAGAGCTTTTGAACGACAATCGAGATATYCGAATCACTTCTGGGCAGGTCACTTTGAACCAGAATTTACCTGTCCCCATGAATTTCGCTTGGGAAAGCTTGGGGACGGAGGGAAGTGGATTTGTGATCCGCATCGAATCACCCAAACAAACAAAGATGGGAAATGTCTTATTTACAGCATTGGTAGCAATGGCAACTATCAATTTGAGAAGGAAGCCTTCAACCACGTCTCAAAAACTTGCGAAATCCACACCTTTGACATAAATAAATTTGGCCAACGAAAAGACTTTGCGGCGTTAGCCCAAGAGTTGGGGGTGAACTTTCATCACTGGGGTTTGGGAGAAAAGACAAAGGTATACCAAAACATGAAAACTTTTAAGGAAATCATCCTAGAGTTGAACCACCAAGATAGGGTAATAGACGTAGCGAAGATTGACTGTGAGAGATGTGAATACGCTCAGTTTGAGCAGTGGTTTAAAGATTGGAAGGAATTAAACATGGTGGTCCGACAGATCATGATTGAAATTCACAATTCAGATTTGCCGGGCGTTGTGAATATTTTCAAAGCATTTCAATCTGCTGGTTACGTCATGTTTCACAAGGAGGCGAATTACATCAACGAAGGAAAGGCAATTGAGGCTGCATTTATTCTCCTGAGTCCAGATTTTCAAAAGATCTAGATCACGCATGGTACATGGCGCACGGTGCATGCGGAACCAAAGCTAACAGACGACGTTGGCTTGCCCTGAACATAACCAAATCATCCGTTCGCAACAACAAGTTGTTATCTTTATAACACAGACTGTCAGATCAAGTTCCCAGTACACAAACTCATTGTGCTTGTGCCAAGAATAATTTGATAGATATATGAATCTCCTATTAGGAAAATGACAACTTGAAATGAAAAATATAGAAATTGAATAAGAACTAAGCTCATGAGCAGCTTGATGACAATTAAGAGGCTTTGTGCACGAGATTACGTGTACTCTTAGTAGGTGTTAAGTGTGTATGAAAAGTGAAATTATAAGATTAAGATTCTCGTGCTCCGACTTGAGCTTTCAGTAGATCCGATTAGATCCTGTGTAGCTCTCGGTACTAAATCTACACAGAGTTCTTATTATTCTGATCTACTGACATCTTTGTTCCGTACGAGGTATTCTATTTCTGATATCGTGGACCTCTTACGATCCTCGGACCTCTTAC